TTATGGCAAGTTTCTGGGCCACTTCCTGGAGTCGTGGAGTTCTGCCATTACTAGTACATTTCATAAAAGCGTGTTTTTAAAAAAGTAAAAAAAAATGTTACTCATTTTGCCTGTATTGAAACGGTTGTACGCCGTATGGACCTGAAAATTAAATCTCCCTGTACAAGAATACGGGGTAAACTGTATGGGTTGACAGGTATGATACTATACACGACACTGCTTTACACTACTATACACTACTCAATACACTACACTATACACTACACTACTATACACTACATTATACACTACACTACTATACACTACACTACTACATACCTGTCAACCCCTTATTACTGCCTACCTTTCTATAGACCAATTCAAAGCTTATATTGGTCACCCCGACCTTGAAGCCAGCCATCCCAACACCACCTGCATTTTTCAGACCCTGCACCTGAATAGCGAAGTGAAACGGGGGAGTTCCATGAGGTGACCGGCGCGTGGTTTGGAGGTCAGAGTCACCGAACTTGGGGGTGGTACGCGTCCCGGTTGGGTCCCGTCCAGCCATGACCGCGTGCGGCGAGTTTGTGTTAACGTGGCCCGGCCTCCAATGACTGCGCACAAAAACACATAAATTCCACACTTGGATAATAAAAATATCGGTTTGACTCTATCATTTGGGGACCCTCTTTGCCTTTATTAAAATGACGAACAGATTTCGATTTAAAGCTTTCGTGACTGCAGGGATTCATCTTCTTGGTTTTTTCGGTAAAGTTTGTCTACTCGACAGACCTGCTCTCCACCTGAGGACGGCTGCTTGCGTTGTGGCCGAAACGTCATGATAATTATTTTATAATGTTTTATTTTTATTATTTCATTATTTCCATTCTACGTGACTTTACCGAAAGAACCAAAGGGTATGGATTCCTGCAGTCACGAAAGCAGCTTCAAATCAAGATTGAATTAATAGGCTTTACCCTTTGTGGTCGTGCCTGTTGGTGTCCTTTGGTCGAACACTGGTGAGACATGACTATAAAGGAGGCTGTCTCTGGTGTAGACCAATCATTTCCCAAGACAAATGCAAAGATTTATCAAAGGAGGTGTGATTGCACGTCTTAGCAAAAGCAAGATGTGTGCTTAATGCCCACTTGATGCCGTGCAATAGATTCATCTTCTTGGTTCTTTCGGTAAAGTCACGTAGAAGGGAAATAATAAAATAAAAAAATAAAACATAATAAAATAATTCCCATGACGTTTCGGCCACAACGCAAGCAGCCGTCCTCAGGTGAAGAACAGGTCTGTCGGAAAGACTTCAGACGCTGTCTCCCCGACAGACCTGGTCTTCACCTGAGGACGGCTGCTTGTGTTGTGGCCGAAACGACGTGAGAATTATTTTATTACGTTTTATTTTTATTATTTTATTACTTCCCTTCTACGTGACTTTACCGACAGAACCAAGAAGATGAATCCCTGCAGTCACGAAAGCTTTAAATCGAAATTTAGCCGTGCAATAGCTTTGTCTCTTTGCTGTTTGAACATCTTAACACCTCCTGTATTATTGCCGGAAAAGGGTCGAGCCTATTCTGTTTTCATCGGTTTGCCCGTATTGCAAACTAATTAATCTAAGCCTCATAGCCAGAGTGTGTCAATAATTGCGGGGAACGGTTGTGTAGCGGTTAGCGTGCTGCGCCTCGAACCCAGCCTCCCGAGTTCGATTCCCGGCCAACAACCACCGCCCATAGGTCCACTCGGCCTCAAATGAGCACCTGGTGCGGTGTATAAAACATTGGCACTGGGGGAGACAAAGGCGGCTGGGCGTGGTGTTGGCGGTCACCGCCCACCCCCTTGTGCGCCATGCCGGCCTTCGTAGGTGATGCTCGCTAACAGTGTCCGACGAGAGCAGTTGTCAGGAAAATGTCGGATCGAGGCTGATCCTTGCCATTTAACATTCCATCTTATTGAGGGACTGCTACTGTGTGTTGCCTTGGTGTGGTCTGTGTCTCTTTTGTTGTTGTCGTTGTTGCTGCTGCCTTGCTCAAGATTGATAATTCGGACTTATACAATCAACGCATTAATTTCCCACACTGGACGCGTGCGAAAATAAGAGTTTTCACAGCCCTGTCGGATTCCCCCTCGTCCAGCACTGAATCGTAAGCTTCTGACTGGGATGGTGTTGATCGTGTTGAGCGTGTTTGACCGTACTTGTCCGCGTTGGTCCCCAGCACCCCGGCGGCGAGTCCGTGCTGCTGGAGAAGTCTGGGAAGGACGCGACGGAGGCGTTTGAGGACGCGGGTCACTCGGGGGACGCGCGCGACATCATGCAGCAGTACTACATCGGCGAGCTTGAAACGGTATGTGCACAACAACAACAACGGAGGCCGCCAATCCCCACCGAGTGGCGGTGACATGACCACGGCACCTGTGCCAGGCCAGGAGCACTTGGAGGCACACCTGTTCACAGACTCACACTTACGGGCTCGCACACGGAGATTCACTCGCGCAGAATCGCGCACACATAGACTCACTCACAGACTCAATTACAGACAGACTCACAGACTCGCACACAGTGTGAGACTTGCGCAGAATCGCACACAGAACCGTAGACTCACTGCCAGACTCGCACAGACTCCACCCACACAGACTCACAGAGATACACACAGACTCACACAGAGATACACACAGAGATACACACAGACTCACACAGACTCACACAGACTTACACAGACTCACACAGACTCACACAGACCTCACACAAACTCACACTGAGATACACACAGACTCGGATGCACTCAGACTCTCACACACACAGTGAGACTCACTCACACAGAGACTCGCACAGAGACTCCAAGCAGACGCAAAAACAAAGATCCCCTATCTTATAGCCTTAACAGACTTTTGGAGCAAGTGCTGTTAGCGAGTAGCACCTACGAAGGCCGGCACTCCACACGAAGAGGCGGGTGACCAACACCACGCCTGGCCGACTTTTCCTCACACCGCACCAGGTATTCATTTGAGGCCAAGTCGACCTAGGGGAGGTCCAGAACCGGTTCAGGTATATCCATCGACAATCTTGGCTGTGAGTGGGAATTGAACTCAGCGAAAAGTGTTCCCTTGGGGAAGATCTGCTTTGTAGAACAAACGCGTTGTGAGATCACGCGGTAAGTGTGTGTGTACGTTACCATCGTGGTTACCATCGTGGTTAACATTGTCGGTTATCTTTTGCAGGAAGGGTCAACGTCGGAAAGGCCGCAGGTAAGAAAGGCATCAACGCGCAGAGTTCTAAATCCCTCTGGTCCACACCGACAGCACCAAATATGTTAACCCTGCTGTGCCACACTCGATGCACTACAAGTTCGACTTAAAAAAAAATACTTACTGGACATCTGTAAAAGAAAAATAGTAGTTAGCAGTAGTACTTGTTGGCGTGTTTTTGCGGTCGGCCGCCTTCCCGATCGAGCGAGGAGTGTCTCGATAATTGATCGAGCGGCGTTCGTGTAGCCATCGACGTGCGAGAACTTAGCACCAAGCTGGCACTGCCAATCTCGGCTCGGCTCTGACACCTCGTGCCGGTGAACCGCCGTGTGCGCTTCGTGCCGAGTCTGCTGCTTCTCGCGCGGGAGATGACCCGGTTGCCCTAAACACATTGTTCTGCGGAGGGAGCTGGTAGGAACGTTGGGTTGCTCGGTCAATGGCCAGGGTCAACGGCGGCGTGGTGTATTCTGCAAATATGGCTGACTGTGAGGGCGGACACAAGTGGGCGTGAGTAGGTTAAACGTTGAGTTTTATAAGGGCACCACGGGGTGACCAGCCCCTCCCCACCCAGCCCCACCCCTCCCACCCTCCCAACCCAGCCCCTCCCCACCCTCCCCTCTCCACCCAGCCCCACCCCTCCCATTTTTGGATGCACGACGGACAGACACAATAATTCCCTGTGGGCTGGTGTAACCAGGAGGTTCCTACTAGTAAAACTAAAACTGCAATTTTTTTTATTTTATTTGACCAGGTAAGGCCCCAACTGAGCTGCTGCTACGTAGCTCTTTTTAAATCCTTTATATTAAGTTCGCTTGCTTGCGTGCTTGCTTGCTTACGACCGTGCAAATCTTTCGATCGTTTTTTAACCCACTTCCCGTGATCCAATCGAGCTGACATTTTGCACACAGACTCGTTGTGCGAGACAATTAATGTTCGTGAAAATTTCCAAAATTGTACACTGTTTAGGGAAAACAAATTAAATATTGAATTACCAATTGCATAATACTGGCAGACAATCATCTGACCCATAGGTGGCAGCCATCTCAAGCCAGAGGACGAGATGACTCTAGCTGCCACGCATATAAAGGATTTATAGTGAAAAACTTTGTTTTTACGGGTTATACTTGTTCATAAGTGACCTCGCCACACATCATGATAGCGCGACAAAGTGGCTTATCGTCACGTGGAACATTTACAGCGGCCAAACACTCGGGGAACGCGTGACGTTGATGCTAAATGTGGAGGGAAAAAAACGGCGGACACAGAGATAAATCCTCGTGACCACGGGGTAGAGGGAGAGAGAGAGATGCAAACAGACATCGTCCGGGTAAGAATCGCACCCACGACCTCCTGTATACCAGGGGAGGTAGTTAACCTCTCTGCCGCCCCCCCCCCCCCCCCCCCCGATTTCTGTTTTCTAGGCGAAGAAAATACCGGGGTGCTCCTCGCCGAGGTCCGCCAAATGGTGCGTGCTCCGCAAGTTTCACGTCTTTGCTTCCTTCTACATTATAAAATAAAATAAAAGTTGTTTTATTTCTTGGTTCTTTCGTAAAGTCACGTAGAAGGAAGTAATAAAATATAATTATTTTATTAAGTTTTATTTTTATTATTTTATTACTTCCCTTCTAAATAATAAAAATAAAACATAATAAAAGAAATTTATTTTATTTTTTTAATTTTATTATTTCCCTTCTACGTGACTTTACCGAAAGAACCAAGAAGATGAATCCCTGCAGTCACGAAAGCTTTAAATCGAAATTTAATCTGTTCTTACTTTCGTCATTACCCCCCCACACAATTTTTACTCGCGCCGTGAGGCCGGAAGCATCCGTCGCAGAACCTTTCACGTCGCTTCTCGTCCGCACGGTCCGGGGAGCGGCACTTTCTCTCACCCGCCCCTGCTTACAGATTAATTCTCACAGCTGGAATTGAGCTAAATGAAGTGCAGAACGCAATTTAATTGAATGTAATTTTTAGAACTTGTTGTTGTTGTTCAGTCATTGGTGATGACTGGTTGAGAACTCGGTATAATCACGGGCAGTGGCTGCAACCCGGATCCGAACCAAGGTCGATATTGTTTACATCATCGTTTGAGCTGTGAAAAGTTTGTAATCTAACTGTGGTGGCCGGGGGTTGTTTGGAGATCATGATTCCGTCCTATAATCGATTATTGTATTCGCAGTGTGGCCTGAGGAGTAGTGGTGTAGGTGGTACCGCGGTGGTGAGATGTTATCTCCCTCGCCTTGTGTGCAGGAGGTCGTGGATTCGGTCCCGACCCAGATGCCTGCTGTATCATTGGAGTTTGCGTGTCTCTCTCTTACCGTGGTCGCGTGGGTTTTTCTCCGGGTCCTCCGGTTTCTCCCTCCACATTTACAGTCGACATGCGTTCACATCATTTGGCTGCTCTAGATTTCCACGTGATGATAGGCCACTTTGTTGAGCTATCATTTATGTACAAGTGTCACTTCTGAAAAAGAACAACATAGTTCAGTGGGGCCTTACCTGGTAAAAAATAAAATAGCGGTAGTAGACTCCTAGTCGCAACTAAATTTCCCGATGATGACGATGATGATGACGACGACGATGACCACGATGATGATGATGACTGATGACGATGACGACGACGATGACAATGACCACGATGATGATGATGATGACGACAATGACGACGATGATGATGACGACGACAATGACGACGATGATGATGGCTGATAATGACGACGAAGACGATGATGATGATGACGACGACGACGATGACCACGACGATGATGACCACGATGACGATGATGATGACGACGACGACGACGATGACCACGACGATGATGACCATGATGACGATTATGACGACCATGATGATTATGATGACGATGATGAACCGTGGCTAACGTCCGTCTCCCCGTCGCGCTGTTGCGCCGGCTCCGTGTGGTTCCAGCTGCTGCTGGCTGTGGCTGGCGCCGGCGGTGGCGGTCGGGTTGGTGGTCGCCTGGCGCTACTACCGCAGGGCCTAGCGGGGGCCACGCGGGAGCCACGCGGGAGCCACGCGGGAACTTTCCAGCCAGCCCGGCCAGCCTGTACGAGGCCTCGGGAGCTCGGCATTCCGTACGCTGAACCTTCACTCGCAGCCTAGCCCAGCCACTCGACACAATGACTCAGAACTCGGCCCGCAACTAGCTACCAACAAAGCCCAGCTATCCTCAACCAAGACTTGTCATCATCATCATCATTCATTACGCCGATGTCGTGCCTCACACAAGCGTAAAAACAAGTGCCGGGAGCGGCAACCGATGCAAATCGAGAAGCACAATTGAACGGAGGACTCGTGGACTCAGATTCACAATAATTTTTCAAAAAAAAAAACCTTGAGTACCAACTCTGCACTACCAGCTCAGCCCTGCCACCCTGTTGTACCAGGACCTGACCCTACCAACTCAGCCCTGCCACCCCGCACCTATCAGCACACAGACCTGACGCTCGGCCAGTCCCGCCGGCTAGCCTTCCCAGCTAAGGCGCGTGACCCACTCTGCACTACCGGCTCTAGCCCAGGGGTCGGCAAAACCTGCGGCTCTTGAGCAGCATGCAGCCCTTTAGAGGAAGCGCTTCGTGTACGTTATTTATTGAGGACCACCACCATCTCGTATTGACCACGTGCATTGCGCGGCTCTTGAGAGATCGATTTTATTTTTACCGAATAAAAAAAAAATGTTATTTCCATTGCCGACCCCCGCGCTAGCCCGAGGACTCGTCACCAGACCCAGCGTGCTACCTGCTTAGCCCTGCCACGCTGCGCAAGGACTACAGCTACTCGGGTTGCCCCTTCAGCCGGCGCAGTACCGTCGGCAGAACAGGCTGCGGACTACCCGACATCAACTGCGTGCCTGAGTACCCAGCTGTTTCCAGCCCCCCCCGTCTTCTCCCTCCAGAGGAGAGGCCGACGAGAAACATGGAAACATGTGCCCACCTCGCCCACCTCTCCCTGCATTAGCCCTAGGGGCTCGCTCTCTCTCCCCTGCTTTGCCACGGTGGCTAGGAGATGTTAACTATCTCGCCCGGTGTGCAGGAGGTCGTGGGGTTCGATCCAGACCCTGACGCCTGCTGCTGTATATTTGGAGTTTGCATGTCTCTCATCATCATCATCACGGTGGCTAGGAGATGTTAACTATCTCGCCTGGTGTGCAGGAGGTCGTGGGGTTCGATCCAGACCCTGACGCTTGCTGTGTATTTCGAGGTGCGTTTCTCTCTCCCCGTGGTCGCTCGGATTTTTTTTTTTCTCTCCGGATCTTCCGGATTTTTGTCCCCTCCACATTCAGAATCAACGTCGCACGTTCAGAGTATTTGGCTGCGATGAATTTCCACGATGATGATGATAAGCCACTTTGGTGGAGCTGTAAATTGTGGCCAGTTCAATTCTGAAAGAGAGCTATACAGCTCGGTGGGCCTTAGCCGGTAAAATAAAAATAGTTATGAGTTTAGCTTTTTACACCGCTAGCCTGCCCACTGGCGAGCCCAAACATTGGTTGCTGCGTCGGGTTTATTGAGCCCAGGTACGGGCCGTTTGGCTCAGGGGTCAGAGACACTGAGCTGGCATTCCCTGGGTTTGACGCCCGGTTTCAGCCGCCCTTTGTATTAAAACCCAGAACGGCGTGCGTGTGCGCGCGCGCGTGTGTGTGTGCGTGAGAGTGGTCCTTGATAGGTGCTCGCTATAACAGCACTCGCTCCAAACAGTCTGTTCAGGCTATACGGGGGGATCTTTTGTCTTTGAATGGCCTGCGGAAGCGGATATCATAGAACATCTTGTGAGATCCCTTCATAGTAACTTTTTAAAAAATGAATTGAAACACTATGGGGGTGGGGGGGGGGGCAGGGCGGTACTTTCTTGCCTGCCCCTGCTGCAGAGAAAATATTCGTCCACGCGACAACCAAATGATATCGTGAATTGTCAGGGGTGGAATTCGGCTAAACTAAGTGCAGAACCAAATTGAATGTAATCGTGGTTATGTTTTTTTTTTTACACAAAGTAATTGGCGACCAGGCTGAGGGCCATCGCCTCGCGAGACTTGAGAAGTCTGGTTCTCATTGCAGGGCAGGATTGGAACCCGGACTTCTCAGCGGTGCCGGCTCCAGCGCCTCGGCTTGGTCGTCTTAAAAAAAAAATCGTCGATCAAATTTGTGAATTTCTTTTACAATAATGTAACCAACGTGACCAGCGGTGTTCGTATATATTTCTATATATTTGTCGTCGCAAAGAGACTTAACGTTTTTTTGAGTTGAAACTTAACAAAACGTATCCCGATAAAAAAAGAATAGTTTTTTTTTTGCCTTCCTGGCAATAAATCAGGAGGTGACAAGGTGTTCAAACACCAAATAGACACACACCTATTGCAAGGCATCAAGTCTGCATTAACCACACGCATTTGTGGTAAAATATGCAAAACAAACATGCACTGATAATAGATGGCATTGTCTTTGAAACGGATTGGCCTACGCCAGAGACGGCCTCCTTTAGGGCCTTCCCACTGGTGTTAGATCAGAGAACAACGCCAAAAGGCGGACAGCGCAAAGGCAATGTAAATATCACAGCATCAATAGCTCGGGTTTGAGCAGATGAAACGTAATCCGGTTGGCCAGGCAGACGGTCGTAAAGGGATGTGGCCAATCGCGCGCGGTTATATTAACCCTTCTTGGTTCTTTCGGTAAAGTCACGTCGAAGGGAAGTAATAAAATAATAAAAATAAACATAATAAAATAATTCTCACGACGTTTCGGCCACAACGCAAGCAGCCGTCCTCAGGTGAGGTGAGGACGGCTGCTTGCGTTATGGCCGAAACGTTGTGAGAATTATTTTATGTTTTATTTTTATTATTTTATTACTTCCCTTCTACGTGACTTTACCGAAAGAACCAAGAAGATATATGAACCCTTTCCTGTTCCGATGACGTACGTGGACGTCATCAGTTTTTTCCATCTGATTCCGTTACGATGACGTACGTTAAAATCATCAACAGAAACAGGAATTATGAAATAAAATAAGTTTATCGGTACCGAGGCTCGGCATGTGGCACGGTTTGGTGCCGGCTATCGTAGAGCTGCGGGCGGTTCGCTACAGTTCTCTGCGGTGAGTAACAATGTCTTTAAGAACAACGGCGCTACGGCCCCTCTGAGTAAAACGAACGCAGAGCCGTTAAATTTCGATTTAAAGCTTTCGTGACTGCAGGGATTCATCTTCTTGGTTCTTTCGGTAAAGTCACGTAGAATGGAAATAATAAAATAATAAAAATAAAACAATTAAATAATTCTTTGTGGCCGAAACGTCGTGATAATTATTTTATTATGTTTTATTATTATTTTATTATTTCCATTCTACGTGACTTACCGAAAGAACCAAGAAGAACGCAGAGCCGCATGTGCGGCCCGAGATTCAGACGGGAACGGGGCCCGCAAAGGGGTTAACAGTGCCGCTGACCGCGTCTTTGGCGGCAGTCAACGCACTGGGAGATGCGTAGGAACCCCCCCCCCCCCCCCGATGAAAATTGTCGAGGCTGTGAGAGGCGCAGGCCAGCAGCGGACGAAACTTTCTGGCTTTGAGGGCGACCCGACTTGTGTTTGTGCTCAATCCGGAAAACCCCCATCGCCCGCCGCGGCGGGTCCGGTTACGTCCTTGAAAATAGCCGCAGTCGGCAAAATCCGCGATCTGCAAAATCTGCGAACTGCAAACTCAAAGGCATTGTGGGGAAAACTCAGGGGGGGTGGGGGGAGGTTGGTTCACGGTTCGTAATACGACACCCATCCTTTTACTGTATTGTCACCTTACATCAACCCCAGCCATGTATCGTGTCAAATACAACTAGTCCGGTAAATGTGTAGGATGACGACAAATTCACGTCGCGTGCAATACCGGGACCACGTGAGCAGGTGGTAAAGACGCGGCTCGCTTCGGTGACTCCATCGCGTCTGCCGAACCGCGTTGGAGCGGACGAAGCGGGCGCATCTCGTATTGCAGAACCAGGTAGGGGGGGGGCAGCCGTGGACAGGAAAACCCAGGAGGAGGAGGAGGGGGGGTCTGCAAATCTGCGGCTCTTTAAATGACGGCCTCGTCACGTTATTGACGCGGAGTCGCGGCTCTGAAAAACACGGAGGTGTTTTTTTGGTTGTACCGAATTCGGCTTAACGCACACACACACACACTGCCTCTTGTCGTTATTTTCGTTGCCGACCCCCCCCCGGGATGAAGAGAAGGCGGACCCCGAGTCCCATGAAACGCGCTGGGGGATTTTTTTTTTGTGTGAAACCGTGACTGCGTTCCACGGCTCGCTCGACGTGCGCCATCGGTGATTTTTAAAAATCCTTTATATTAAGTTCACTTGCTTGCTTGCGCGCTTACGACCGTGCAAATCTTTCGGTCGTTTTATAACCCACTTCCCGTGATCCAATCGAGCTGACATTTTTTATATTTAATTACCAATTGCTTAATGGTGGCAGGCAATCATCTGACCCATAGGTGGCAGCCATCTCAAGCCAGAGGACGAGAGGACTCTAGCCGCCACGCACATAAAGGATTTATAGCGAAAAACTTTGTTTTACGGGTTCATTTGTTTTGTTCCCTCCCCTGTCGTTCGTGACCTCCTCTCGCCAACGCGTCGCTCGGAACGACGTCCGACGTTTTACGCCGCGCGGTGCCGGGGGCCTTGCTGGCAGGAAACGGAAGAACTTCTGCTTAGTCAGGCCGGAAACTCGAGTTCCCGGATAAAGCTCTGCACCCCCCCCCCCTCCATGCAGGAGGTTATGAGTTCGATCCTGACCCTGACGCCTGCTGCTGTATGTTTGTAGTTTGCGTGTCTCTCTTTCACGATCATCACGGTGGCTAGGAGATGTTAACCACCTCGCCTGGTATGCAGGAGGTCGTGGGTTCGATCCTGACCCTGACGCCTGCTGCTGTATATTTGGAGTTTGCGTGTCTCTCTCATCATCATCACGGTGGCTAGGAGATGTTAACCACCTTGCCTGGTATACAGGAGGTCGTGGGTTCGATCTCGACCCTGACGCCTGCTGCTGTATTTTTGGAGTTTGCGTGTCTCTCTCTCATCATCACGGTGGCTAGGAGATGTTAACCACCTCGCCTGTTCTACAGGAGGTCGTGGGTTCGATCCTGACCCTGACGCCTGCTGCTGTATATTTGGAGTTGGCGGTGTCTCTCATCGTGGTCGTCGTGTGAATTTTTCTCCGGGTCCTCCAGTGTTTCGCTCCACATTTAGAATCAACGTCACGCGTGTGTGTAGAGAAATGTAACCCCAATCATTAAATCCATTAATCATTCGCTATCATCAACTTCGCTTTCACCGCATTCACACATCTTCACAGATTACACCCCACATTGCTTCCTCTTATTTTATTTTTTCCACTTCTACCACCACCACGACCACGACATTCGTACGTCGTGCCGTCGTTAATTCTGTGTAAAGCGCCTTTGGTTCAGGCGCCATAGAAATTCCGTCAGGACAACGTCTGTGCGGTGAACCACCGACCCTCGCTGCCACCCACGGTGACTGGTTTGCAGGCCACGTGTGCGGCAAGCCAGTTGTCGCCAATCGCCAGCCAGTCGGTTGCTGCGTGAAGAACGTCACGCGCTCAGAGGTTTTGGCTGCTGTAAATTTCCACGCGATGGGGGAGCCGTTTTGTCGTCGAGCTTACATTTATATGGCCAGGTCGCTTCTGTAAACGAGCTGCATTGCTCGGTGGGCCTTAGCTGGTCGAGTAAAAGGAAAAAATTAACCCGTAAAAACAAGTTTTTCACTCTAAATCCTTTATATGCGTGGCGGCTAGAGCCCTCTCGTCCGCTGGCTTGAGATGGCTACCACCTATGGGTCAGATGATTGTCTGCCACCATTAAGCAATTGGTAATTAAATATTTAATTATTTTTCCCTAAACAGTGTAAAATTTGGGATACATTTTTTCACGAAAATTAATTGTCACGCACAACGAGTCTGTGTGCAAAATGTCAGCTCGATTGGATGACGGGAAGTGGGTTAAAAAACGACCGAAAGATTTGCACGGTCGTAAGCAAGCAAGCACGCAAGCAAGCAAGCGAACTTAATATAAAGGATTTAAAAAGAACAAGTAAATAGACGCACGAGCGATTCGTGACCTCCGGGTACCCGTGTAAGCCCCCCAGGTATGCACGGGTATTGAGCTATTTCCGAGTTACTTGCGTTACCTCCCACACAGACCTCCGGTTAGCACGCATGGCTACGTACGGGTGCGCGAAAGAAGAAATTTAACATACTCATAGTTCTTTCGGTAAAGTCACGTAGGTAAAAAATTAAATAAAAATTAATAAAAATGAAATAAAAATCACGACGCAAATCTGGCTGTGACGGTCCCACCTGATGACGGAGACTTGTGTTGCCTCCGAAACTTCGTGAATTATATTTTATTCTTTATTAATTTTAATTTCATTTTTTACCTACGTGACTTTACCGAAAGAACTAAGAGTATGAATCCTTGCAGTCACGAAAGCTTCAAATCTAGAATTAAGAAGTTAACATACAACACGAGACGGCGTATTCATTCACCCCCCCCCCGCCCCCCCCGAAGAAGCTTCCGGCACGTGGAGCGAAACGTCGGACGTCGTGCCGTCATTATCAGTGCCTGTGCCAGGCTAGGTGCGCGGCGTTCAGAGATGAAGTAGTGTAGAGGGGTGAAAGATTGTCCCACTCTCGCTTTGACTGCCGTGGGAAGAAGCTGTGAAAGAGTTTCGTTTAAAGATGTTCTATAATACAGGTGTTTTTGTGTGTGTGAGTTAGATCGCTTAAATATATAAATGTGTGTCGTTAAACCCGCCACCACCCGACACAGTCAATCAGTAAGGGTTGTCACGTAAACAGAACGTGGCCATTCGT